TGGAAATTAAAGAGAAAAATAAGAGTAAAGCATTGATGCCCCCCCGCTCTCTATCAGACGGTTCAGCTGGGATCTTCTCTCTCTTTCTGTCATTTGAATCGCCTTTACCTTCCCACCATCCTGTTCCCCTGTTGCTGTCAGAACCTGTTAGGATGCTGCTAACGAGTGACTTAAATTACCCCCCCATCAGGCCTGTCCAGGTGTGGGTAATGAGGTGGGAAGACTCCTCCTCCACATGTTCACTAACTCAGCAGCAGAGGAAACTTCTGCAGCTAGGAAAGCCCTGCAACTAAAGAGCTTCACTGTTATAAAAAAAAAACAAAAAAAAAAGTCCAAGTGTTGGACATGGAATATAATAAAGATGTTGAGTCCTGGACGTCTGATTGTTTTAAATAGTCCCACATTTGGTCACTTAATTGCAACACCAAATAGCAGGAGATAAACTAGAAGCTGCATGAGGATTGGAGGAAAACCTGCAGGACTTTCAGAAGCTCGGCTGCAGCATTTTTTGAACGACTTGCAACCGAGAGGCGGGTGTAATGGAACAGAAACTGAAGCCCTGACGGTGGTGAAATGCAATCATGATTCGTCTTCCTGACAACATCAGTTAGATCTGAGCTCTGGCAGCTTATAGTGTTTCTGAGATCTGTTATCGTCCCTGTGGCCTGGCCTCTCACAGACACGCTAAACGGGTGGTCTCCCTCCACTGGAGGTGGAAATGAATCTGGACTCGGCTCTTCGCCTGCCAATCTGGGACATATCACTGTGTTTGATGGGGTGGGGTGGGGAAAGGGGGACCAAGGAGCCAAACCTAAACTTTCTAAAGCTTCCAAATGATCAACTGCTGCATGATTTCACTGAATCCTAATAAATCCTCCATGTGACTGCTCCGATGTACTGGAGCGGGGCAGTCAGCTCAGTATTCAGGGCTTCACTGTTCTCCTACTCTTCGTCACTGTCAGCTGAGCTGCCTTTCTTCATCAGGATCAGCGGAGGCCTTGACAGGAGGACAGTCACAAATGATGGACATGATCTGCCTGAAATGAAAGATTGCAGAAACCTAATCTGATTATCATCTCTCCCTGCTGCCTCAGCATGTTGTCACTTCAGAAGCTTCTAGTTTCTGGGTTGCATAGATCCAAACTTTGTGCCTATAGACCCAATCTAAGGTTAACCCAGGACACGGGCTGTTGTTTGATTGTCAGTCCTGGCAGCTGACTGAACGCTTGTAGAAGAACCCAGAGAACAGATCTCAGTCAAATGGTTCCATAAATCTACTTTAGATTCCTCCTGGATTCCAGTTTCCTGATTAATTCCACCGAATTTGACTAAACTTTGCTGAACTCCGTTGAGATCAACGTGGCAGGATAAGGTCTGCTTCCAAGAGTCCAGTTAGATTGTCTGGACCAGCTCCAGCAGGTTGTTGTAGAGCCTGATGGCCTCCAGCAGCACCTGGTGTTTTGTCTCCACTTTTAACAGGTTCCGTCTTCATGCTTGGCTCACTTCCTGACGCACAAGTCTCCCGTAGTAAAGAGTGAAGAGAATTGGAGCCTGTCTGCCTCCTGGTACACCGCTCTACCCTTCTCCTCCCTCTCAAGCAGCTGTCAAGGTGAGGCAGGTTTAACATGGTGAGGCTCCAATGCCCTTGTCCAATTTCACTTTAGAGTGAAGCTGGGCTGAACATGCCAATCCTGATATTACCAAACAAATTAAATCACGCAGTTGGGCTCAGAGGAGGAGGAGAGTGCTGAGAGTGCAGGGGAGGAAGGAATTGAGAGAAGGGAGGGAGAGGGATGGTTGTCAGAGCAGCTCAGAAGCTTTTTGCTTGGTGTGATCAGGCCTTCCTAGGAGGAAAATCATTAATTGGCCTGGGTCGGAAGAGAGCGCTGGTGAGATCAAACCAAGCAGGGTGACATTATAGGATGGATCAGAGATGAAATAGCCACAAGAGGTCCAAGAAAACTAAGAACCGCCCCTCGTTACTAAAGAAAAAAAAATCCCTATTCATATCTAAGCTTAATTTTTCAGTTTGTATCATATATTTTCAGATCTGCTCTCATCATATTTGAATAAAGTCATCCTTAGTAGACACTAAAAAGTTTCAATCTGAATGAAATAGATGTATAGATGCAGAGGTTCACCATATGTGATTTAAATACATCTTATCTTTCTAAAAATGCAAAACCTTGTTATAACTAAATTCAATACACGGTGATTTACAATTAATCAAATTTGCATCGCCTCACCATTTATAAATATGGAGTGAGGTATAAAATTACCACATCTACATTAGGCAAGGCGAGTTTATTTATATAGCACAATTTAGTACAAAGATGACTCAATGCATAAATTAAACAATAAAATAGAAGGAAAATGAAACCAAGTAAAGATATAAAACATTATAAAGCAGGTAGTAAAGCTAACAAAACAGTTGGATCACAAACTTAAGCTAATAATACCTCTCTTAACAGTTTAACAATAAAAAGCAGCTCTAAATAAATGGGTTTTTAACTTTGACTTAAAAAAATCTCAGGCTTTCAGCACTTTTGCAGTCTTCTGGGTGTTTGTTCCAGATCAGTAGAGCATAGGAACTAAATGCTGCTTCTCCATGTTTGGTTCTAGTTCTGGGTGGACAGAGTTGGCTGGAACTAGAAGACCTGATTGGTCTGGGAGGTTATGTTATGTATTGAGGAGCTGATCCATTCAGTGATTTGCAGACTAACACAAGGGTTTTAGAGTCTTCTCTTTAAACTACAGGGAATCTCCCTGGAAGGACTTTGGAACTGGGATAATGTGCTCTACTATCTTAGTTCTAGTGAGAATACAGGCAGCAGCGTTTAGGATCAGCAGCATATGTCTGATGGACTTTTAGGCAAACATGAAGAGACTGTTGCAGCGATCATTCTATTAAAGATAAATGCATGACTGAGTTTTTCAAGATCCTGCTTGGACATTAGTCCTTTAATCCTGGAGATGGTCTTCAGGTGTTAAAAGGCTGACTTTATAACTGCCTTTATGTTTGGTTTCGAGCTGTAGTAGCTGAAGCTGTGAGCTAACCCTGAAGCTCTCCTTCTTTGGTCTGAAGATTACTACCTCAGTTTGGTCTTTATTCAGTTGGAGAACATGATGGCGCATCCACATATTGATCATTCTTTGTTCTAAGCATCCAACCAATGCTCTGATGGGTTCATAGTCACCTGGTGACATTGTGATGTAAAGCTGGGAGTCGTCTGCATAGTTATGGTAACTGATCTTCTTGTTCGCTATGATCTGAGCTAAAGGGAGCATAAAGATATTGAATAGGAGGGACATCAAATATGCAGTGGCTAACCATATATAATCCTATTTTTGTTGTCTTACCTCATATGAATTGAATATGCAGTCTTTACTGCATATACATTTTTGCATTGCCTTATCATATGCAAGTTAGAAATATTACTGTGACCAACCATATACATGTTCTTTGCCTTAACGAGTTTGTAGAATCGGCACTTGTCTTCGATGGTTTCTCTAGAACAACTTTGAACATCTACAGATTGACATTCTGCCACCTCATGTTGGGAGAACAGCTGGTCGGTTTGATAAGATTTTAAGCTGATTTACACCAGCTTAAAAGTCTTGCTTTAGACTCTGTTACATTTATGATTGGACTTTGACTAGGCCAACTAATGATATTCAACCTGCCAAGGGCAATGATATAGCACTTCTACTCCTCCATCATTGAGTCCATCCTCACCTCCTCCTACTTGGTAAGAAACCTGATTCTAAATGCATTTCCTTTGGTGAAAAAACAATATCCAGATATTTAATTAAAGAAACAGAACTGATTCTTTTTTAGAACATAAAAAAAAAAGTATTATAGATTATCATGCTGTTCAGGGTAAAAAAAACAAAAACATCGTCTCAGGTCAGCTCCAGCAGAGCCGATGTAAGACAGACAAAAGGAAATCCTTCTTCTACCTACAGCCATAGAACAAACCCTATAGGAATTACATTTAATGTTACTTTGAGTTCAGGTATTTTTGATTTGAACTACATGTTGTGAAACTTACCAGGAAATGACATTAACTGAACCCCTTTAATATTGTTGGTTAATATTGTTACAATCTGAGAACAATTTAAGATCCATCTTTTAGAAATGAGCTTCTAGATCAGGACAGGTGAGCCTAGAATAAAACTAAAATATGCGTTAACTTGTTGGTCCCACCAAAAGGAGGACCAGACCTCTGCATCATGTTGGATGTTAGCTGGATCTGTCTTAAGACTGGCATATTTCAGACAGGAATCTTAAAACGAACCGATCAGAACTTAAAAAAGCCAGCCACATCTGATACGATGAGTCACCTCCGATGGAGCCCAGACGGCTAAATAAACAGAATGACTTTACAAATATTTCCAGCACAGGGAAACCTGAGATAGACGGGGCCAAACAAAGTGTCAAAGATCCGTGGAAACCATCGGCTGCACCACAGCTTAGTGGAAACACGAACATTCCCAGTGGTTTCCTCTGAGGGAACCAGATATTGGGAGAAATGTTAGAGTCTAAACAAGTTGGGAAGCAGTGACAAGTGGACGGCGTGGAACCAAACACAGAACCGCAGTTTATGGGCACAGCCGAAATGTCTGACAGGGTGTTTAAGTCAGGACAGGCTGGGAGGCTCGACGATGCTAGAAGACACATATCTGCATGTCTTTCTATGAAAAACAATGACTGAAAAGTTCTTTAAAATCTGGACAGAATCTCTGTGAAAGTCTCCAACCTAAAAACACCATCACTAACGGAAACATCAGGTCATTTGGAGGCGATTGACAGCAGGAGGCATAACGCCGATGATGTCAATGAGAGACGATGATGGTGAACTCCTGGACTCCAGAGGACAACTCCAAACCCAATGCTAATATCAATGCTAAAGGACAATTCAAACAGGGTTCCTAAATATTTAAATTTTTTATTTATTTTTTTTAAGTAAAGAAACGAATACATTTTTATAATAAAAAACAGCATTTTATTAGAACAAAATGCTTCTGTACAAGACGAGAGAACTTTGTCTGAAAAGGTTTCCTCTGATCAGTGTTGGCTCATTACATCGTCATCAGCGTAGACGTTCAGACGTCATCCAATGGTTCAACATTTGAGATCAACTTGTATTAAAAATATTCCTCATTTGACCAGGAAAGCTTAAGTAAACATTTTTACAAGATATGCTTCTTGGTGCATATTAAAACCAAACCAGACGTTCCTCCAGAGCTCATGTTGGAGTTCCGCTTCCCTGCCAAACTGAAAACATTAAAGGTGACATGACTTGAATAAAATAAATAAAAACTGAAGCAGAAATTCATTTAGAAAAAGCAGTAACGTCCTGTAGCAGAAGGTAACAGCCGCTACAGGAGGAGGAATGAACGCGGCTTGTCCTCCTTCAGAGCCACGGGTGCCACGCAGGGTCCATGCGACACAGATTGTCCAGACTGTTCGCTGCAGCCACCAGAGTGTTGACCTTACTCTCCCCTCCCTCGAACTGAGCCAGATTGTGGAGGCGGGTGATAATGGCCGTTACCGCCTTCTGTACCAGGGATACCAGCTGCTGGGAGTCCATGTTCTCTGGCTGTCCGGCTGGAGACAGGGGGACGGAAGTGTCCTCCTGGGTTTTCTTGTGCCATGCTATGATCTCGTCACGAAGCACAGCCTTCAGGATTCCATCCACCTATGGAGGTAAACGGCGTTTATGAGGAGTTTAATTTATGATAAGCTTCGTTATAATCTGAGAGGTTCAGGAGAATAAGCTACCTTGAAGTTGGGCTGAGCGAAGCATCGCGCCACGGCGATCATTGAGGCGGTTAGCGGGCCCGAGACACCGATGGTGGTCAGGAATTCTGAGATGTTGGGTGTCAGACGGAACGGAACGGGTCGGTTAGCGTCCAAGTCACCGGTGGCGTCGTTGATGTCAAAGCGGAAGTAGGAGACATTCAGCTTGCCTGTGTCCTAACAGGAGGAGACGCAGAGGATGGAGGGTTAAAACGGTTCGCCGTAACCACCTCGTCTTCAACTTAACCCAGTAACAGATCAACCATATTGGCTCTGCTCTGAGTCCTGAAAATGCCCTAAAAATCAACATTAACCGGCATTAATGTGAGAAGACTGAGGAGAAGAGATTAAAAGTGAAGCTTTGAGCTTTTTTCTTTCAGCTAGCACTCTCCCACCTCCCCCGCTTCCATACCTACTCTCATTTGCTCCAGCTGGTCCCAGCAGAGGGCCATGAGGCAGTGGGCCGAGACACCAGCGGGCCCCTGGGAGCTCAGATAAGCCTGCAGAGAGTTGGCCATGGAGGCAGCGCTCAGGATGCTAAATCACCTCAGCAGTGGCTTCATTTCGAGTCTGATGCTAAATTAGTGCTAGCATGAGGCGTTTCTGACTGAGAGGGAACTTTTCCACAATAAATAGAATAGGATAAACAACATTACTTCTTCTTAATAAAGAGATTTAGCCCCAGTAGCAATAATAAAATGAAACCGTCTGTGTTCAACAGTCTCTGGAAATTAAAAGAAAATGAATTCAAACAGCAGACCAGTTTGAATCTAACGGAACCTCCGTGTTTGTTACTGGTTGAACGGGTTCTGAATGGTCCAGTCGCCTCTCATATCTAATAAACAGAAAAGCTTTCTGCCAGTCTCACCTGAAGTAGTCAAATTAAAGCTGACTCAGCCTTTTTTTTTTTTTTTTTTTTTTTTTTTTTTACAGCCGTAAGCCATCTCAAGGCCCGTCAGATTCTACATCATTCACTAAACTAACCTGAACCGTCCAAAAGAATGCTGACTCAGCATAATACACCAAAAAGTGAAAGCTAATGTTAGCTTTCTTTCTCTTTTGATAACCAACATGTTTTCGTATGGGTCTGGTTAGTAGAAGCTCGCATTTTTCAGAGAGAAACCAGAACCTCCTCTGAACAGATGTGACAGATCAAACTGTCTCTTTTAGCAGGCAGTAAACATGTTCCAATCCCCAACCTTTAACGTGCTGAGGTGTTTGTTTGCTGCTGAACATCTTTGGAGGTGAAAACACCAAAGCTTCTGCATCATTAATGGGATTAGATGATGACATCTGTGCGACCACACTGGTCCTGATGGGAGCTCTCTGAGGCCCAGCTTGAAGAGGTTTCTGCTTCAGCAGGGTGAGGGACGATGTTCCGGCTGGGCTCTGATGTCCCGTCCTTCACTCTCTCTGTTTGTGTGTGTTTGTTTGTGCGTCTGCTCTCTGCACCGTAATCCTCCTGTGTCTAATGGGATCTGTGGAGTGGAACAGGCAGAGTCGGGGCTTAATGCCGGTGCTTAGCTGCCCAGAGGAACGCCTGTCAGCAAAGGCCGATTAGGATCAGAGGGGAGGGGTGGCCGACTGACACAGTCATCTTTAATAATGACTTTGAGAAAGCCGTCTGCAGACTGTGAAGCAGACAGAGAGCAGGGAGCACGCACCAAAAAACCCCGCCTCTGATAAGCGAGCACAGCCGCTGAATATAACACTCTGTCAAAACACCTTTTGCTTTGACAGCGGCTGACTGACTGATAGGCCCGGCGTGAATGTCATGGGGGAGAGTTGTAACTCATCCGGCCGTTATGGAGGCGGTAATGGAGATCTCTTAATGCGTCTACGAGTGTGTATATCTGGTAAATTAGCTGCTGTCAGATGGATCCGTCGTGTCCTTGGAGGACAGTCGGACATGCTGCGTGTTCACAGGTGTTGGTGTCCTACCTGAGCTATCTGCAGCATCTCAGGGTTCAGCCTGTTCAGATGGAGCATAAACTCAGCCAGGCCGATGAGAGCCAGCTGAATGGTGAACATCTTGCGGAAGGTCCAGTAGTCGGTGGCGTTGGGGAAGGTGTGGAGGGCCCACTCCTTCAGCATGCTGCGGGGAACCATGTTGCCCTGCACCTCTTTCAGGATGTCCCTCAGAACCTGGACATGAGACATGACGTGTCAAACCCCCATCTGATCAAATGAAAATCCTCTCTACACTGTTCTCATGGATAGATGATGATGCAACAGGGTTTCTCTTCTTTAAGAGAATCAGATTCTCATCAACGTCGGTCCATGTGGGCCCGTCCTGCAGAGTTTAGAGGTTTTCATGCTGTAGCACAGCTAGAGGGAAACCTCTAAAACCTGCAGGACAGCGGCCCTCGCTGTCCTGGCAGAGGTTCAAACATCTAGATATGCATGCGTAGACATGACTTCCGAGTTTTATTTATTCATGTTGCAGAATGAGTCCATTTCAACTGAAGATCTGATCCAAATTAACAACGCATATAAACCTCTGATGTAAGCAGTCTCCCCTGGTTCTGTACCTGGTGGCTCGCCTGCGTTCCTCTGGCCTGAACGGTCGCCAGCCGATCATAGTACCGGGAGATGGGATTATCGTGCTCGATGCCTTTCTTGGCACAGCGCTGTTTATAGATTTCCACAAGCGACAGCGAGGACGGGTTGTCCTCCACCAGCCGCATTTGAGGAGACACTGCAACCACCCGTGGTACTGGGAGGAGGAGACAGGGGGGAGAGCGGTGTGAGAACCAGTGAACAATTAACAGAATCATCTCCCATTTTAAATCCCCCCTTCTTAGGAGACCAAAGGTTGCATAAAAAACAAGCAAACATTTGGAGAAAGCCCCTTTAAACCAACACCAGGTGTCCAAGAGACATTTCAGAACCAGGAGAATAAAATTGGAGATCATACCGGTGAAGAAGAGGTGCCTCTTGGTGGTCTCCTTCCTCTTCTCTAGACACGGGTTCAGGAGGCGCAGGAGCTGGAGGACCCTCTCCTCTCTGCGTGATTCGGTCAGGCAGGCATCGTTCATCACCAGGTACGGGTAGATTTTACCGTTGTGGCCTCGGATGTAGAGACGGCGTGCTGCTGTGTTGTGTTTCTGAACTATCTCCACTCTGGGCATAAATCTGCAGAGAGATGAAGAAAGGAGGGTTCTATCAAACTAAAGCTTCCAGAGCAAAAGGCTGAATGGTAAATGTAATTTCCGTAGCATTCTTCAGCTACATGATGTCTTACCTGGCGATCTTGATGTAGTAGTGTGTGGGTTTGGGCATCAGGAACTCTCCAGGGATCTCCACTTCAGCAGTTTGTGCTGAAAAGTTGCTGAGGAATCTGCACTTTTCTTCAATGAGGAAGAACTTGGGAAGCTGCTTGGTTTTAGCCTCCAAGATCTTGATCCATTTCTTTAGCTTGGAGATCAGGTTGTGCAGCTTCATGGAGCCGGGAACGCTGAAGTCAAAGTCTGATAGGAGGAAAGTGGAACAGGCGTAAGAACAGGGAGCTCAACAAAACGTTTGCCGTTACTGAATCCTTCTGAAGAAAAAGTTATACCAGAAAAAAAAAAACAGCTTTTAATCTGTTTTGGGCATTAAATCATTTAATATTGGACAAAGAAAGTAGTTGGTGACTCTGATATAAACTTGGAAAGGTTCATGCAGACTGAGGAAGTTCTCATCCTTAGAAAGACTTGGACTCACTCTGAAAACTAGAAAGTGTAGAAATGGTTTCCTTTCCTGTTTTTAAAGCATTTCAGAGAGTGAAGTCCAAAGTGTGGTTCAGGGGCCACTTTTGGTCCCTGAACTTGCAGTTCCAGGGTGATACGAATGAGGATCTCAGCAAAGGTGGCTGGAGACTATTCTAATCATTTACTAATTGCTTTGCTATTAAAAATTATTAAACAGCTTAAATTTTATTTTTTTTGTAATTTTGTTCTGTAAATATTCTTAGAGCAGGACTAGTTTTGCTGTGAAGGTTTGATTCAAGGGGCTGGGCTCGATTTAAAGAGGCTTTATTTAATCGCAAGGCAGACGCAGGTGGAAACGTAGCAAATACTAAGAAACAAAAAAGCAAAGTAATGCTATGAAACAATCATTTTCAGCCCATTTCTATTTGTCAAGAAATCAATACCTGCAGTCCATAAAATCTCAAGAAGTTCGACATGACTTTAGGCACAGACCTGCTGCAGCCTCTGTCCTGAACACTGGACCTGGATCAGATCTGTTTTGTGGTTCCTGTTTTTGTTTCTCCCTTTTTCCCTTTTGCTAGGAATGGCATTATCCTATCCTCTGCATCACGTCTGGCACTGACCTCCTCAGCTGCTTTTAACATTCACAACAGCAACTGACTTTATAGCTCTAAAAAACATTTAGCTTTAGATCATAAAAACAACACATGCTGCACCCAGTAAACTAACCACTTTGTAACATCGTTGAGTTGCTTAATACATCCATTTATTAATGTTGAAACAGGACAACAGGATGGTTATTTATGTAGGACGAAGTTATGCAGGATGAATTACAAATATTTAATTCATGTATGCATTGCATAATATACTGCGGTTAAGTTCAGGGTGTCCTCAACAGATCCTAAATATAGAAATCTTGCATGCAAACTTTAAATTAGGGTGATAGCCTGCTCCTATTTTGGCCTATCGTTGGTTTACCTGACTCTAAAAGTGTTGATCTTAGCCCCTCCCATAAATAAACATCTGCTAAGAGAAAAAAATCTCTTATTTTCTCTGCTCTATCCATCAATTTAGCAAGTTTAGTAATATAAAGTGCTCCTCTCTTATCACGTTTTTGCCACGTATCAGGTTAAATCACTGTGCAACCTGCGGCTGCGTTTTATGGGGTAAAAAACACATTCAGACCTCTGCTAATGAGTCACAACCTTCTATTAAATAAAATAATTGATTTACCTTCAGATAAAATCTGAGTTTAATGAGCTACTTGCAAAAATGTATTTGTTGGCTTTAATTATCTAAAATCATAAGAGAGACCTGAAGTTGATGGCAGTTCCATAAATTTGCATTTAATGAAACTTCTGGTCTCTGATTTAAGGTCCCAGCATTAATCCTGACACTGTTTCCTAACCAGAAGGTTAAAATAAAGCTTTTAAAATGAATTTCCTCTTTCAGTCACAACTTGTTTCCCATTATAAATAAAACAATAAGGTGTTTTTAAAGAAAAAAACCTTCAGACATCATAGCAGAAGCACCTCAGCACAGACTGGCACAGTCTTTTGTTTTAGTATCTCTGCCGCCGTGCTTGTTTTAGAGAATCCATGAAACCGAAAGGTCTTCAAACCTCTGCAATCTTTGCCAGAGACAGAGCTCCTAATACTTTAAATAAGCCCTTTAAAACAGGCAATGTTCTTTCCCGAGTGGCCCCATTTCGCCAACAGTCCAGTAGCAATTCACCTGCCTCCAAAGGGGAAGTAAAATTGAAACTGGTCTGAGGAAATTGCAGCCGAGCAGCCTTAGCAGTCTATAAATGCTGGCAAATAGAAAACGCAAGAAGCAGCCCTGCCATTTCAAATCTGTGAGGAGATATATAATTCAAACATTGATTAAAGGTAAATAAAACTCTGCCTTAAAGGCGAAAGCAGCAGATGAAATCAGTGTCATATTAACTCCTGAGAGAGAGAGGAGGAGGAGGGGATCTGATCTCTTATAGGCTACCTTGGACTTCACTTACTGATGGCTTGTGTGTTTTACTGCAGATGAGCTGGAAGAGGTTAGAGGTCACAGCAGCTGGAAGACCGACTCAGTCACAGACTGTCCACTTCTCTGATCCAATCATTCATTTTTCTTTTTGAAAAACACTCAATTTATTCTTACTTCAAAATTAGACCTCCTCCGTATTTCTGATGGACGATGGAGGAGGGCTGTCTGTCATGTCGCACAGAGTGAAATCAAATAACATGGCTTTGATTTAAAAATTCGAGAAAAATGAACGGATGACGGAGTCTGAGGGTTAAAATCTAAAACTTCTGACTGAAAACAGACTGTTAAAGGTGACCTATATTCATTTAAAGATGCAGCACAGCCTCCACAGATAAACCAGTAAGCAGCCAAATAGCATCACCTCGTTCATAAAAAGCTTCTGTGACCAAAGTGTCTGGATCTGATCCGCTGCTAAAACAGTAAGTCATGCAAATAGCATTCTCCGTAATTAGATTTGAATGCCTCCCTGCTGCCAAATGTTATATCTGCTCACATAAACCCGTATTTTCCAGCCCACAAACCCAGTGAAAGCGAGCGAGCCGCTAACGCGGTGCAGGGAATGTGAGCCTGGCTGCTCACTAAAACCTGTTTGTTCCGCTCTGGAAGGTCCGTGCGGTTTTCTGACGGTGCCGGCCCGCCTCCCGCGCCGCCATGGGGACGGCTGCACGGGGACGGTCCGCAGGCGCCCCGGTGACGCCCGGCTGCACAGCTGGCACCGCAGCATCTGGTTAGATTCATCAATAGAAACGCCTCTCTCTCGTTTGGTTTCATTCAGTTCAGCCTATCTGCCGTTTCTTAGCTTTTGCATGCTAATGGTTCTCATGGATCCCAGTTCTTATTATTACTCTGTCTGCAGAACCCTTGAGGAGAAAGTTCTCTCCTTATTAAGAGAAACAGAACACAGGTGGAGCGTTTTACATTCAGAAACCTTACACCAGCAGTCAGCCCGAGGAGAAGAGGCGAAAGCTTAAAGCCAATGAGTGTTTCAGACGGAGATTGTTTAAACTGGGTCCAGGAAAGCGTGGTTCAACTCCCTCATGTAGTGTAGAAAAGCACACATGGGCCAAGAAAAACAGGGGGATGATTGTTTGGAGAAAAATGCCCCAAAGGGGGCCCTTGGCTCCATTAAAACTGCACCTGCCCTGTTGGAGTCCGCAGCTTGCACATAAATCGCAACATGCAGGCCAAGATGGCTGCAAGCAATAACAGGAATATCACAGAAATGGGGCTTTGATGTGTTAATGCGCTACTGACGACATATCTGGGATCACTGGAATGAAGTGTTTTTGCTCACAATCATCTCAGCGCACCGAAAAGAAAAGCAGGAAAACAAAGAACAGGTTTGAGAAAAGAAAGCAATCGAATGAAGAGAAATCAAAGGAGACGTTCCTGTTTGAGCATCAAACTTGGTTTTAGTAGATCTGCTTCAAATTGAGTCATTTGTTTAAAAAGTTTTAAATTGGATGCAGATTTAGAGGAAGGCTGTCGGATTAGATGGGAGGATGGAGCCAGTGATGGAAGATGTTCAACTGTTAAGATGAATGAAGGTAATAAAACTCAAATGTGAATCTGTATTCAGATCTTTTTACTCCAATACCAACAAACATCGTGGGGAATAAATTTTCTCCAGACGAGACCTGATTGGTAAAGAGGTTTCCTATGAGAAGCTGCATTTCAACTCATATCTGTTAGCTTCATAAAAAGCATGTGAAAAACACAATACTTTGGCAAGGTGGCGTGAAAACTGGAATTAACCCAACCTGTTGTGAACTGGCCCTTCATCTTCTGGAAGACGGGGTCCTGAGCTGTGGCCTGGGCCCGCCGGGCCAGCGACTCAGAGGCAGCGCTGGAGAACATGGTGGAAACGTTGGAGACGTTCTCCAGGCCCACACCAAAGGTGCTCACCAGCTTCTTGACAAAGTTGAGGGTGTGTGGGGTGATCTTGGCATCGGACACGGCGCCGCTCTTCTCAAAGGCTACAGAGTAGCACTTAGCCAGGCCCTGCTGGAGCTGCCTTAAGACCTGCAGAGGAGGAGGGAGGGGGGGTCAGATCCTTATCAGACTGCAAGCTGTGGATAAAGACATTAAAACGATCCAGGAGGACGGATGCAGCACTGATTATCTATCCAGAATGAGGAGGAGGAGGAAGGAGCTAAAAAAACAGGGGAAAGTTTCTGCAGGGCCTGCTGCTGCTGAGTCGCCTCAGCTCCCGATTCTGGGTTAATCATGCAGATAAAAACTCAAAGCAGCAATCTTCCAGCCATAACTCCCCAGCTATCCTACATGCTCCCTGCACCCATCCCTCAGTCTCTCCTCTATAGATCTGCACAACTCAAACTGTTCCAGGTTTGGGACAATCCTCCCACTGAAGGTTATCGTTTATAATCTTCAGTCAAAGCTGTTAATATAACAAACAATGAATCAGTTTATCGTGATCGTCTTCGGCTCCTTGTTCTTCTCACCTCTTCATGCCAGTTCTCTCTGAACCAGACCATCTGGTCCACAATGCCCTCCAGCGAGGACAGCAGGGTCGGGTGCAGCTCCCGCTGCATGTGCATGATCCGACTGCAGCGCCACATCGGGGCGGTGGCCCGAATGGGACCCGGGTCGGTCCCCCCCGAGTGGGGCTGGGCCCCCACAGAGCTGGGCTGCTGCTGACCAGAAGAATCTGAGGACCAAAACGGGAAATAGGAATCAGAAGATGAAGTTCTAAAGAAATATCAGAGATCCACCTGTTCTGAGGCTTTTAGTACATCCTGAGAATTTGACCCTATTTTTATTTTATTTCATTTTTTATTTTCCATTTTAATTACTTTTAAATTTAATCATATTCATTATTTTTAATTTGAACTAATTTAACAGTTTTCTATACTCTTAATCTCTATTTTAGGTTGCATTTTGCATATCTATTGGATTTTTTCTGTGTGTTATTGGATGTACGGCGCTTTGATGACCTTTTGTTATTTTAAAACAGCTTTATAAATAAAGGGGTATGGTTTGGTTTCCTCCAACTTGTTTCTGTCTCTTTATGACCAAACTTCCAATTTTAATACAGAGTAACACAAAGTAACACGATGGAAGGAGACAGAGCCATGCTGTCTGATTTATTGAAATAACAATCTGAAAAGTGCGGAGTGGATCAGTGTTCAACTTCCTGGAGGAAGGACTTGGATTAACCCGGCTTCAAACTATTAGGTTCTATCCCTCTTTTTAGAAAAACATCTCCAGCTCAGTCAGAAAACATTTTTTAAGTCCTGGATTTAGATTTGGACTTTGACTAGGCCATTCTAACATATAACGAACCCATACTACTGTAGCTCTGGCTACATCCTCTGCACCGATCACTGCTCTTTATTCAGCACCAGCCAGCAATTCTGAGCTCTTAACAGTTTAAGAAAAAATGTAGATGCATGAAATCTTCAAAGCAAACATGAACCACAGAACTCGTGCTCTTACCGCTTTTGTAGCGCTCTCTCTGCTCGATCTTAAGCGTCAGGTAGAGGGTGCGGATGGGGAAGTAGACAGCCTGTGGATAAACTCGTCCCACCTAACAGATAAAAGAGGGTCAAAGGTCACATTTCAGAGAGTCCAGTTAGGTCCTCTAAAGGCCAAATTATGCTCCTGACGCTTAGCCTCTGCAACCGTCAAATCTGTCTCTGTGCGGGACCACGCCCCCCCACGCAGAGGTTCTTCAACCGTCGTTGCGCACCTCAAAAAAATCCTGACTACGCACCAGACGTTAGCAAACCTGCGCAGACCTCAAGCGGAGGTGCGCAGACAAAAAGCAGCTGTGATTGGTCCTTAGTATGTCTTTCCGGCTGTCTGTGTGGTTATCCTTCTCGACTCGGTGCCGGGGTGCGCCATTTTTAAAAACTCAGGAACAACTACGACGAAAGGTTAATCGAGGAGGTTCGGAAGCGAGTTCTCGAAAAGGCTCTCCCTTGCGCTTTGGTAGGAAACTGCTGTGCGTCCCTAGAAATTCCAGACCGATGATGCAGAAGCATAGCAGCAAAACTAGTTCACGACCAGACGCAAGGGACATTTGATGTGTGCGATTGCAGAAGTCTAATCTGCCCTTAAAGGAGAGAAGGAGGCAAACAGAGGTGAGATGGAGGCTTATGGAGAGAGAAAACCGATCATCCAGAGTTAACCACGAGCTGTTTAACAGCACCACTTGGCCAACTAAATCTAAGCTAAATATATGTTTTTTAAATGTCCGCCTATTAAGAGTTAAAATGAAGAGAAGAGGGAAGGAATTTAGAAGAGCAAAAAAATAGAAGCTGGAAATGAGTGAAAAAAATGTAGTATTAAGTGGCGGCTAACGGCTTCATTAATGATGAAAGAGGACAGGAGGAAGAGGAGGCACCAGAGATCATCACGCTAATGGGAAGATAAGAAACGTCTTAGTGTTTTTTGGAAGATGATGTAGGCAGAGGGGAGGAGGGCGATGTAGACAAGCTGGAGGTGCTGAGATTCTCAACTAACTTCTGATTCATCTCCCCGCTTGCCCCCAGGCGCTCCTCTCCTCACCTTCATCAATATTTCAAAATACGTTTTTTTAAACACCTCTCTGCCGCAGAGAAACTCTAAATAATTCAGGCGAGCAGGAGCGATAAAGAACGTCATGAATCAGAATGCCTTTTATTCTCTACATGGAGGATAAGGCGTTCACCTTTCCCCTTCAGCTGTTAGACGGCCATCGGAGGGGAGGAGTTAGAGAACAGGAACATCCAATCAGCTTCCAGATACGAAGGTAAACAAAATGACTTTTGGGCTTTGACTGTATGCAGGGATCTAGGTCATATATCTATAGATCTAAAACCTGCAGCCAAAACAGTGAACTTTTTTAAAACTTCTTAAAAAGAAAACAAATTCTTGCCAAAATGATTATTTTGAAGATTATTACCTGTTATTTTTTACCTTCTATCATTAAAAGTATAAAATTAAATAAGACAGTTATTTACAAAGAAAAAATAATGTGCAAAAATATGCAGGATACAAGATATTTTTAACAGTACGCAAAGAAAAAGAAACCTATTCAATAAATAAAAAATGTTTATTTAAAGAAGATTTGAATATGAAATATTTACTAGAAATAGAAAAACAGAAAGGCTCCTTAGAACTGATATAAATGATATGAAAACTAAAGAGGAGCTGAAGCTCCAGCTGACAGGTACTGATCCGTTCCTCCTCCAAATATTCCAGCTCTGCTGGGAGGAGGGCTGGTCTTCATAGAACGCCTCTCTTTGAAGATCACCCTCCTCAAATTGTGCGGAAATAATACTCCATTAGGCAAAGCAAATTAGTCCTGGCTTTAATTACTAGCTCTGTTCCCGCAGTGCGGAGGTGCGCAATATTAACTTTATAATCATTTCTTATACAAATAATTTAAAAGCCAATTCACCAGAGTGATGAAAGCCAAGAGATTGCAGTGAAGTAATTTAAGAAATAGAAGCAGGACAAACAAAAGCTTTAGTTTAAAGGCAGCAGATTTATAATGATTAGACAGACAGACGTGTGTGATGACTGACGCCTGCACGGCGCCAGATGTGCCGTCCTGAATCAATGACACAAGCTGAGAAATGATGAATATGAGCAACAGTAATGGAGCTCTATGGTGTCTGTGCCTATGAAGCAGAGGAACTTACCTGGCTGATGAGGTTGAGCAGAGGTTTTCCCTCAGATCCGACCAAGCAGGTCAGAAGCTGGGGAATCCAGGCCAGCCACTGAAGAGGCGGCACTCCAATACAGTATTTGTCCACAGCGTCTGCCAGTGTGTTCTTATCATCAAAGCTGAGCAGCCAAAGTACCTGAAGAGAAACAAGAGTGAGGAGGAGCAAGCAGCAACAACTCCGCTATCCCTGTCATGAGGAAAGCTAGACTGAGGTGGGATGGATGCCTTAACCCCCTCGCCTCCTCAGCTTTTCTTTATTGACTCAGGCCAAGTCCACATTTATCAACAAAGAGTTTCTAATACAACGTGGTAGCCCGCTACTTTTGGATGTAACTAGCAGTCATTGAAGCTGACAGTGGTCGGCATGCGCCACAAACAGCCCGCTGCGCTGTGGTGGTGCTAAAGGCGGACTAATCATTGAACTGAGGATGCTATGAATCATCCTTCCTTCCAGGGTTTGTACAGGAATGAGTAACTCTTAATTTAATGTTTTTTAATGCTTTTTTAATGCTCTAAAAAATAATTTTAATGCCATCAACAAGTACCCATGACACATATACAGCACGGTAAAATCCTTCGTCATCTTTACCATCGACAGGCTGCAGCCATGTCCCGAATTCCTCGTTTTCCAGCCACTTTTGTTGAAATTTGAATTTTCCCATTATCGAGCTTTACGATCAACCAAATTTTCTTTTTTATATATATATATAAATAGAGCATTTTAAATGCCACAATAATCACATTTAATGAATTTTGCTGCCAATTAAGGCCTTAATTAAAAAAATAATTATTTAATGACTTTTAATGATTTTTAATGACCGGAGGAAACCCTGTCCTTCCTACATTTTTCAATGCATACAGAAGCAAACAAAGACAACTAACATCTGAAAAATTACCAATATGGTAAATAATAAATATGTGATGTTCTGCTTCTAAATTCAAACATATTATAACACATGTATAGAGTATTTTATTTTTCCATATCGGGGAAAACAAAATCCAGTAAATTACAGTAAAGTCTGGAGAAGTAGATGAAAGGTTATTAATAAGAAAATTATTAACCAATATGAAATTACCTGTAATCATTTGTTTAATTACATGCCGTAATTGATTTTCACTCTAATTTTTTTATAGGATATTGTAGAAATTAAGCAAAGTGTTGTATATTACTGAGTAGGGGAAAAACAAATTTTACCCCCAAAAAATCCAATTTGAGGCAAATTAAAATAACAGTACTTAGAAATCATCGACTGGAAATAAAAGCACAAATATGCCTGATTTAGGACAAATATATCATGGAAAACTGGAATTATTGCACCAAATATCCCTGTGGGATATTTTTCAAGTTATAAAACAGTTGAGAATGCTGCATCTGAATCTTATGACTTAGACAACTATACAAAGAGTGTATAGAAAACGACATTTCCTTTTGTCCAGCTTTCAGAACATTTCCATTTCTTAAAGTGCAACAGTAAGGGAGAAAAAAAAACATGGTGCCAAAAACGCACTGATATGGAAGGTCAGAGCATTAAAAATGTAAGGCGCAAATATGCAGAACTTTGGTTTGGTGTGATCAGTCTGATGCGCAGTCAGTGACATGATTAAGAGTTTTCAAGTCAAGCGCTGTTATCAGGCCGCTGCCTACAGGTGCCACCATGTTTGTTTCTTCTTATGATAGAGATAGAAATAGTTTGGAATTACAGGACCGCTAATCACACATGAAATAATGCTAAAAATGACAGGAAATACAACAAAAGGCACATGGTTTGTAAATTGTGATGCCAAAGTCAAATATTCAGAATGTAGCCGATATAAGCATCCACCAGCAGTGCACAAAGTCGCTCCTAGCTTCCTCAAAGCCCTCCAACCAGGAAAGCACGACGGGCAGAAACAAGAAGGGCAAGAGGGAGGGGTTCTTAAATTCATTTTGTTTGTGTTTAATGTTTAAAAATAGTAATTTCGGGTTAGGCATCATATTTGGAAAATTCTAATCATAAAAAAAAGTTAAATAATAAAAGCTAAAGATATAAATAATAATATTTAAGATTATATTTTGAAATGGGGCTGTTTTTTGAGATGAAAATGTAAAAAATAAAAAAACACCTGTTCAAGGATAAACTTTGATGATAAAGTAAGTTTCTAAATTTCTAAATTTTTCTTTGGGGGTGCTATGAATTTTCCCCTTGAAGTGCTCTGTTGCTGCTGCGGCCTTTAGCAGGAAATCATATTCTAGTTTCTGAGCTCACCCCAAAAGCAGCAATTTGTTGCTTATCAGAGTTTCTACTTTGGCTCCAAGTCAAACCTCAAACCTTGCAGACATTAATGGTATAAAAATACAAAATATCCTGATTTTAGACGATTTCAAAGTTAAAATATGAAAACCTCGCTACAAGTCAGCTTTTAGGACTCACCTTTGCCAGATACTTTCGAGACTTGCTCTCGTTTTGGTGGCGGCAGGCGTGCAGGTAACAGGTAATGGCAGAAACACCCAGGTGGAGCTGACGATCTTTGACAAAAATGTTCTCCAGGTAATCCCCCCACATGGCCCAGGCCTTCACCAGGACATCGTGCATCTGAACAGCTGCTGAAAAGGCCTTGTTGGCCTCCTCAGACCTACAGGAAGAGAAAAGGAGAGTCAGAGAGGGCGGAGCTTAAAGGCGTACTAGTAGAGGATGAGGAGCTGGATGTAAGGAAGGCAGAAGGTACTTAATATGGAGAACATGATAACATTAATTGCAAGAGGAGAAAAAGTATTTATTTAAACTTTCAATTATTTTTTTTTTCTTCCATCCCGGTTGGGATGAAGACATTATTTTTAGTGATTGCTGAATAAAAAAATTTTCTTATGTTGTGCAGTTCTATATTTTTAGTTTAGAGCTGTTTTCTAACAGGCTAAATGATCCCTAAAGGATTTTATGAACAACGCAGAGAGAAGCAACTCTGGAACCTGGATTTGCTTCTGACAAAACTTTTGGATCATTTACCTGGAAAATAAAAGAAATAGATTATATATATTTGTATTTTGATCATAAGATACAGATAGAGAAACTAATAAGTCAGTATCATAATAAGGGTGTGATGAAATGAGTCTGACGGGTGCCTCTCTAAACACAGCTGATGCTACATTCAACCTCCTTTTATTAACTATATGTAATAAAACAGTAACTATCGCATTTGGAAGAATTTATTCAAATCTGAAATAATTTATTTTACTATGAAACCGAAGTATTGAGGAACAATAGTGTGAGAAACAGCTGAAGAGATGCAAGATGCTAGTATATTCCCCCCTTCTTCTGATTTCATGACACCACAGTCTAAAACTTCTTCACCTACAGCTCGGCCCTGGATTTTAAATAACCTGCATGAGGAACTGGAACACTCCCTTCAGTCAGAAAAAGCATTCCAGCCAGTTATAAATAAAAAAATAAAAAATAAAAATCATCTCTAGGATTTCCAGAATGTCTCCCAAAACCAATCAATTAAAGTAAAGTATTATGGGAGGCATTTTGGCATGTGATTAAAAAATGGAAGCCTGATTGCTGTGGGATTCAGAACCTCCAGCGTTTCTTAATGGGTCTCCTCAGCCTCGTTGGCAGTGTTGGAGGACATTAACATTTTCTACTACCTGGCTCAACAGGAGCAGCAGCACCCAGCAGACTGACACCCTTTTAATTGAATGATCCCTAAACACACACACACACCCACAGCCTCTAACCACCACTCTGCTGCTAATTCTTCTCTGGCGTGAAGAAAACTTAATGATTGCAATAAACCCTACTGAGGTGGAGGGAAAGTTCTGCTGATCCCAGAAATTCCAGTAAATTGCCTCCAGTTAATTACTGAGCAGCATTTAGATTTAATAACCCTGCATCAATTTGTCTTTCACCCCTGAGGACCCCCATGTCGTGTCAAAGATGATGGGTGCACAGGCGGGGGAGGAGTTTTGCAGAGTAACCAGTTTATTAAACAGCAAAGCCTGCAATCAGGGAGAAGATCCTGTTACTTTGACTAGGCCACTAAAGCCATCATGCACAGGCTACCTGCCTGGAATGTTTATAGGTTAGTGTTATAGAGTTATACATGCTTATTGTCAGTTTATGACCAAAAAAAAAACCCCTCCATAAACGCTTATCAACAGATTTGAAGGAATGTACCCTTCCTCTGAACTCTTTAGTTTAATATAACCATGGACGTAGGAGGGATTTCTGTTATATAAAGTGATAGAAACACATGTTATAGTTTCCTGGTTTAATTTCTGCAGGGAAATCTAACAGAGAGGGAAATTTCATCAGAAGCTGAACAGGAAGTTGGGATCAGAACACTAAGCAGGAGTTTTTACTAATGTTTTAGGTTGTCCCTGCTGGGGTCCTTATTGCTGGGATTTATTGTTTTGTTACCACATTCTGTCAGCGTGCTGCGCTCTAAGCAGCAACAGGAAGTGCTGCTGAACTGCAGATTGAGCCTGAAGTGATAGCAGCACAGATGACGACAGAGGTCGTCAAGTTTAGGGGGGGAATTAAAACAAGAAGAGCAGGATGACGTACTTGTTGATCTGTGCCAAGAACATCCCCTTGAGTGCGTAGAACTCCGCAGTCATCTCCTTGGTGAAATACTTCAGGTTGGTCGACTCGATCACCTCCAAACCCTGTGAAATCCAGAACAACTTAAAACAAAAACTGCAGGAGGAAAAAAAAGTTTCAAAGAGAAAGCCCATTATTCAGCTTTAGATAAGACAGGAGAAGCAAACAGCTCACTGTTCATTAAGAAACAACAAGGAAGGTGGTAAGGAAGCTAAACTTCCATTACGGCCAGTCTCTGATTAGGTGTCTCCTATGTACTGCTGTGACAAACGAGCGAAGAAACGCAGAGAACCAGAAGAGAGAGAACAACGTCTACTGGCACTTTTAATGACTTGTGGTGTGCTGAACAGCTTCTATTAATCAGAGCCCTCTGTGGGCTTAAGAACATCCTCTGGAGCTGCTCTCTCTGCTGCATCCCGTCTCTTCAGGCCATTCAGGCTCTTATTTTTCTCACAACAATGTAGAAAGGAAGACTAAAATGAACGCTTCAACAGCTTAGAGACTTATGAAATGTTCTTTGGCATGAAAAGCTGAAGGATGAAGTAGAGGAATGATGAGTTTTGGACCAGAGGACCAGAAAATGTGTGTTTTCGCTCTTTCCTCTGCTGTTTGCTTCAGCGGAGGACATTTTGACGTGTAGGACAGTTACCTGCATGCATTCATTCTTGCCCATGACAGCAGCCAACTGCAGGTAACATTTGACCTGCTGCCTGATCTTCTGGAAGCAGTCCACAATGGGAACCGAAGGGATGGTGTGGATCCGACTCAGAATGTCCAGAGACACGTTCACCAACCCCTAAAGATCCAGCAGGACACAAAGCGATCAAAACCACAGACCACAAACGTAGAAACTTAGAGGGACAGTCCAGAGTTAAGAGGTTAGAAGCAGTTAATCTTAAATCCAGATTAGTTGACGACTTCTACCATCTATTCTATGAATCTGCAGGTCACTCAGCAGTTGAAAGCTGTTATTATTAAGCTGTTATGAACAGATACTAACTCTAAAATATTTTTACTACCAATACAAAACCAAACCTGTTTTCACTAAGACCTCCTCACACATGGGAAACTTTTGGCCATGTCAGAGTCTGTGACAAAGTTTAGCACATATTTTCTCAGTGTGAAAAGGTAACACTGTTCATGGTAACCTATAGTTTTTCTGCAGATTTTTGCAAAAAGTTTTCCATCGGTCTTCATAACCCATCTTTGAATCAAGCCATTCTTTAAATGCTGGGTCGTCAAGCACTACAACTCTAAAGGGCAGATTATACTTCTCCAACCGCACACATCAAATGTCGCTTGCGTCTGTTCGCGATCCAGTTCTGCTGGTATGCTTCTGCAGTGTTGGTCTGAAATTTCTAGGGACGCACGGCAGTTTCCCACCAAAGCGCAAGGGGGAGCCTTTTCGAGAACTCGCCAAAACTTCGGCGGGTGGTCATGAGAACTTTGACGGCGGGAGTGTTTATCTTCCAAAACAACAATGGCGCGTCTGCATTACATCACGGTCATGGAGATGGATCTAGAGTTGCTAGACATAGAAGAGGAACAGGTTCTGTTAATAGAGTTGGCAAAAAGATCGATTAACCTTTTGTCGTAGTTGTCCATGGTAGTTGTTCCTAGATTTTAAAAATGGCTCGCCTCGGCAACGAATTGAGAAGGATGACCACACAGACAGCCAGAAAGGCATACCAAGGACCAATCACAGCCACTTTTTGTGTGCGCGGGTTTGCGACTGTCCGAAGAGTAGTCGGGATTTTTTTGAGGTGCGCGACGACGGTGTCAGAACCTCTGCGTGGGGGCGTGTTTGCCCACAGAGACAGATTTGATGGTTACAGAGGCTATGCGTCAGAAGCATAAATTGGCCTTAAATGTTAAGAGCAATTAGTTTAACTGAATACTTCATGTTCAGCATGTTGTAAAAATCTGCCAACTCAAATGCGTTGAGCAAAGTGCGTTTATCTAGTTTACATTTAATTCTATAATTAGTCTGACTTATTTGTGTATTAATTAAACATTACTTAAATAACTTAAGGAAAAACTTAACTTTAAAGAGAAGGAACTTGTTGAGACTTTGATAAGAGAAGGAGTAATCCAATGTATTGCAACAACAGTTGCAATACATTGGATTACAGAATGTTAGCACATAGTAATAGTGTAATAAAACTATTGTATACTAAAGCTTGAATGAAAACATAATTCCAAAAAAGGAAAATGTTCCAATTTTTCCAATAGGCTCTATGCCAATATCTTTAATTGCTAGATATAAAAACAAAATTTGAAAGTAGGAATCGTACTGTTCTTAGGTTCAACTTACAGCATAAACCCAAACATTAAAACATTATTACCTATGGAACTTTAACAAAAACATTTGAGTTGGACACTTGGATTTTTTTTAATCAAATTAGTCTGTTAATAAACTTATTTTAAGTCCGTTGGTTTCCTAAAATCATTTCATTTCAACTTATAAAGTTGTTAAAACTTGCATTGCTCTACAGTGAGGCACAAAATGACTGTAGTTTCAACATATTAGGCGATTCTAACACCTGCATAGTGCACAGCAGAACCAGTCGAGTCTATTAACATCAACTCAGGTCCTGCTGTTTATAACTATATATGTAATACAGATTTCTAGATAAATGAACTTGAAACAAAAAGTCGCGATCAATGAAAAATTCTGAATATATTGAGGAGGTAACAAAAATGTACAACCTTGTCAAAAGCTCTTTGTTACCTTATACTGCCTTCATTTGAGTTCATTCAATTTACAGCCTTTAGGATCCTGTAGAAACCCTGCCACATTTTTCAGTCCTGGTTTATACGTGTTGTTTAAAGCATAAAGTCTTAGTTTTAAGAGTGGTATTTTATCACTTCAGGAAAAGAACTGGGACAAATCTCAGAGGTGTAACTGCAAAATAAAAAAAAACTCCCAGCAGTTGATATTTTCCAAAAGGCTGGAGGTGGTGCAGCATAAATTATCTTCCCATGAGAAACAAGTGATAAAAAATATCAAATAACAAAAACAAAAGTTTTTGTTTCAAGCAGGACTCTCTTCATTTTCTGCCTAAATAAGTTTGACTTTATTGTAAAAAGGAAGTTATTAACTGTTTAAAGCAAAGCTGAGAACTGGTTGAATGTTAATAAAAGGACGCGTTTAAAAACACAACATTGGTGTTTCTTGGATTCAGTTCAGCCTCTGGGTTTGGATAATCTGGATTTATTGGACATGCAGTTTGAGGAGAAGATATTAACTGCTTCAAACTTTTAGTTATAAACACCTCGTTGATGATTAACGTATGAATGGAGCAGAAACCAGTACCTGTTTACGAGCGATTTTTCCATACTGGATGATGGCCGAAGCAGAGGCGTGAACTCCCAGCATGGCGTTGTTGTTAGGGTCATTTTGTGTGTTGGTCCCGTACGCCGTCACTATAGCTGCAGAGAAAGGACAGAATGGTGATCAGGACGGGGCGTTTTTTTTTTTTTTTCTCTTTGCAGCTCTCACAGGTGACGAAGGGAGAGAAGATCTTCCAGCAGCAAACGTATTGGGGAGCAAATGAACCATGGTGATGAATTTCATCAACAGAGTCTACTTCACCTCAGGTTTGAAGGCTGTGGTGTATAAATGAGGGGGATTTTATTGGCACACTGCTGCCAACAACACCATCATTATTTTAGCCCTCAGAGCGAGGTGGAGCTCAAGTTGCTTGAGACATCACATTTTGCAGTGGCTGCCTCTCTGAATGGTTTCAAAGTCACTGCTGGAGAGGGCAGAGCGTGGAGCATGATAAAGGTGTGTGTGTGTGTGTGTGTGATGTCCTGTGAGCCTTAGCGAGCTGACATTTAGAAATGCACAGACACCCTGAGGCGGTTCTTCACACCGTGGCCTTTAGAGAAGACCCCCTTCATTCTGCAGCTCACCAAACCAAGCAGCCGTCTGAGGGGGGCGTCTACATTAACCTGGCATCTTTCAGCACACGTACAGAGCTCCGAAAAAGACGCGGCTATATCTGCCGGCGTGGTGTGAAAGAGGAAACGGCAGCCTGTCTTACCTTGGTAGTGGTGCTGGCGCCACATAAATATGCTGCTCCAGTGGGAGAGGTCGTCGGAAACGATGGGCAGGCGATTCCTCCAGGTTTTCACCACCGTCTTCATGTCGTGGAGGCTGGTGTTGCGGCCCAGGTTGGTGGGCTGAAGTCCTGCGTTAATCTGAGCAGCTTCCTGCAGCTCGATGATCTGCTGAGCCGCCTGGAGGTGAATGCAGATCAGGATTTAAAACCATTCACTTTACAGTGACCTTAAATAAAAATATGATGCCTTTCATTATGCAAACATTAATGTAAAACACTGAAGTTTTTCAGGTTTTATTATCCTTTCTTTTATTTGAGAATTGCTGCAGGTGCACCTGAATTTCCCCATTTAGGGACAAAGAAGATGCCTATTCTATTCCAGAGGGAACTTCAAATGTTATAAAAGATTTTAGGCTCAACAGAAAAAAATAATGAATCAAGAAATAGAGGGGTATGACTTCATAAACATGAGGGAATCAAACCTTCCACCTAATAAACATCAAGCCATGCTTATTAATTAAGAGGTGTCAAAGAAGCAACAAGCGTAACCGTCCAGAAAAGCTGTCGCTATGGTAATCCGTCATCAGTACCTTCCTTTTAGCCCAATTACGTATTAATTTGTAACCAAGAACTAAACGAGTGAAACATTCCAGGAGGATCTGTTTGCTGGATGCTTATCAAACAGAGAAGGAGGCTAAGTTTAAGCTGCAGACTCAATGCAGCGCTGGTTTTGTGCGACCCACATCATTTTGGATGCAACTCCAACAAATTCTCTCCTCCCACCTTTATATGAGCTCTAAACTGCAGCGGGGAGATGAGAAAATGATAAGTGAGGAGCTTCGGTCTCATTCCCTGAAAAGAAGAGTCCATTGATTGGCCCAAAGCAGCTGAGCGAACATCTAATCAATCATCCCATCAGAACTCCTCATCTGTCAATATTAGCGCCGAGCCCTGCAATCGATAGTGAGGGTGATAATCCATCCATTCATTGCATTGGAAGATGACTTGATTCAAAGAGCAGAATATATGTGCAGCCTCTGCACAGTCCCAGTATTCAGATCCGTTTTTCTAAACTAAATGGGGTGAATCATCCTACCTGGACTGAAATTAAATCTCCCCAAACAAAATAAATTAAGCTGATATTTTTCCCCAATTATGTGTTCATATCAGCTGATGGCCCACCTTCAGTCAGAGCGTCCCATTCATCATGTAAATGTAATTCTGCTGCAGGTATTTAATCAAACGCTATCTGATGGCAGAGAAGTAATTACAGAAACTCCAAACTATCCTTTTATTTCCTCTCCTCACCACCACAGACCAGCTCTGTCTGTTCTAATCTCCTTCAGTGGAATTAAAAAGCCTTCATCCATCGTCTTTTCTCTATAGCTAAATGCAGTTGGAGGAAGATGAAGGCGGGTGTCGGTGTCTCGGCTGTGGATGATCTCTGGTACGGATCTCCTTCAGCTCTCCTCACCACACACCACGACTCCACTCCTGAGACGCATCATCAGAGGAAGGGCTGACCTGCAGCAGCGGCGTGTGAACGTGGGAGACGATGTGCGGCAGCCGTCTCCACTCGCGGATGGCCAGGCTGGAAGCCATCTCCACCAGTCTCTCTATGTAGTTGAGCTGCTGCTCCTCTGGGTTGCAGATGGCCAGGTAGCCGCGGTGCATGTTCACCTTCCAGGCCATCTCCTTCGGACAGCTCAGCTCCACCTGCAAGATCAAACCGTTGCCAAATATAAAAAACACAACAGCTCAACACATACGGAGCCATTTCATTCACAATTAAACATATAAACAAATGTATTAATAAATAAATGCTGCTATTGATAAATTACTCTTATTATTCTATGAATGTCACCATGAAGTAAAACTAAATAAATATATAAAAAAAAAAGTTTATATTATTTATTTCGAAATGTATTAATTTACTTCAAGATTAATTTATTACCTTATTTATTTCATAATGGAGTTTCATTTGCTCTTTCTGTAAAGCTAGTTTACATATTTGAGTGACTTATTTTTTAAATCTGTTTTTCATTTTAAGATTTTTCTTACTTCATGTGCTTCTATGGAAAGGAGGGTGTTATCAGTGGGGCGGGGCAGGTCAGAGGTCAGTGATTCAGAGGAAAACAGGAACTAGGTTATAAAATAATAAACCACAGAAGGAAAGAATCGATACCAATTTTTAGGCAGCCTTTTGCAGAATGCGTCTGATGTTTCTTATCTATTCTGTTTATTTACAATATCTGAAAACAGAAGCTGCTAACAGTCTGTTTGGAAGCGATCCGGCATACCGATAAAACCTCGCCCTCATTTAAATAAGCTTAAAATGACAAACAGGGCAAAAAAATCTCAGTAACATAATGTAAATTAGGTTTACAAAATAAAAGTGTAAAAAAAAAAAAAAACTCCATTAGTAAATAAATGTGGAAGTAACTAATACATCCTAAATAAAAACAAAGTTATATATTTTTGACATAGAATTATTTATATTCATCAATAACATATTTTTAGTGATGTAATTAAATTTGAATGAAACGGCTTTCAATAAAAACACAAGGCAGGAAAAAGTTAAAGCCAATTTGATAAATCAATAGAATAGAGCTGAACGACGCAGCCTAAAAATTTTATCACAACATTTTGTAGTACTTCAGTAATAACAATGAAAGTGACGATAATAACCACCTTCAGTCATTCATTGAAGTTGTTTTTATGTAACTGTACCTCTGAAGAAAGGATCACAGTATTTAGAGCACAACAATCACAAAAAAAACACACAAAAAAACTAATTAAATAGGCTTCTTCCTAAACATCTGTAGTAACCGCATTCAATCATATTCATTGAATTTACCAATCCCTTAATGGGATGTAAATATTAGAAATCTAAATCCAAATTCACCAATTTTTTGAGTTTTTTTTCTCATCACTAATTATGATAATTTAGACAAATCAAAATTGTGATACTGACTAGAAAGTTATCATGATAACGATAAACAATACTATAAATGCCCACCTGTGTACGCATCATTCAGACATTAAATCATTGTAAATTCAGTGCTAAAGGAAATTATTTAGGTTTGGATTCCAGCTTTTCACCATTTTACTACAAAAAACCTCAATGTTTTAGCAGAGAGGTGGTTCTCAAGATAAATTTATGCAACGCTTTCCAGGTTTTGATTGTAAATACTTAAAGCCGACCGATGAGCTTTTCTTCCACTTCTCGCCTGGTCGATGCCATTTGGCCTTTATGAATCAGAGAAAGCTGCGATTGTACAGACAGAAAGCACAGGTGTGTGTTTTCCAGGAGAAAATTACAGTGATCCGTCACAGCGCAGGTACCAGGGGTGAGGCGTGATGAATATCCCGGAGACAAGACCGCCCTTATCAACGGCCAGCTCTAATTGAAAGCGGGGGACATTTGGACCTCGCCTCTGAGCGCTGGGCGGGCTGTGCTCCTCTCCTCTGCCGTAAAAAACAAATCACCCTGCAGCAGATGCTGGGGTAATTATTCATGCACACAGCTGTCATAAATATCAGCTGGTACAGTCTGAGCTCTGTGCCTGGGACAAAGAGATGGAGGCCGAAGGGAAAGTTGTAAAATCAGGGAAAAAAATACAAGAAAAGCTAGAGATAAACAATAAGGAGACGACTGAATAGGCAGGTTTAGTGGGGCTGATGCTGCCGTCCGAACGCTTTAATTAGATGTCAGCTGAGGCCAGAGCAGCTGGATGGATTGGTTCAAAGTCTCCTTGGAAGAGGAAAACAGGAGTATTTGTTATAGTCGCTCCTATCAGAGACTCCAACGCCTCCACACTTTGTCCTGGAAACATGGGGCTGCCACATTAACACCCCCATCCTCCGTTTTCTTCCCCCAGGAGGTGTCAGGTTATGATGGGGTTGAAGAGCCCCGATATCAGGTTACTGTCTGTTCCATTAATACAGACTCAGGCTTTAATACACATCACCAGAAACTAGAGCTGCAATAAAAGCCAGTGGCTCACTCAGTGCTGCTGTCTAACCCCCTTCCAGAGGTGTCAGCTAATTATTCAAACATGCATCTGATCATCTCCTCACCTGCACCAAAGCCTCCTTCATTGCACTCCAGTTAGAGACCCTCCACGCACATTCAAGCCCTAAATATGGGTTTGAGTGGCCTTTAGATTGACCGTATTCAGTCAAGGACTCCCACTGGTTTAGCTCTTTGGAACAGCTGTGGAGAAACACCAACGACACATTAAATCTACACAGCTTCTAGTTATCAAGTCACTTTGGTATTAACTGACATTTTTACTGTAGGTTTGAAACAATCTGATTAAATGATTGTAGATATAATATTCAAATATTTAGTAATAGATAAATCGCTAACTTAAGTAAAGACACTAAAACATGCCTTTAGCAGAAAAAGAAACCATCTCAAAGCTGTTACTGTACCAAAAATTTTGCATTAAGGATGAAAACTTTTTTCATACATTAATATGCTTTATTATAAAGTCCTCAAAGGGTGAATTTTTTTTTTAGCTTTACTTGGTTTAAATTCAGTGTAAAATATTCTTTTAGGAACCTTTTTCCCTCCCATTATTAATCAATTACTCAAAAAAAAAAAAGAATCTAGAAATTTATCGACAAGCAGAATAGTCGTAGTTTCACTTTTACTCTACTGTAAAGATCAAAAACAGCAGCTGAGATGATCTGAACTGTTAAAGAACAAGCGGACGTGTGAACTGCTGTTCCTGGTGGAGGGTTCCTACCGTATCCAGTGGTCCTCCCACAGCTGGTACTCAGGGAAAATGGCTGGAGAAACGTTGCTCCTTTCATGCTCTTTCCTAGCCTTCTCCATGGCCTTCTCATAGCTCTCCTGAGCCTGAACAAAAGGAAACCCCTCAGAAACATAAGATCATTTCACAGAAATCAACACATTCTGGTTGTAACTAAAAGCTGAGAAAGGCAGCAGAGCAGCAGGAAGAGTTTAGCCTGCTTTAACCTGCTCTGTTTTCATGGGGATGTATGCGATGCTAGCCGTCGTAGCTCATCGTCAATCAGATGCAGGTTTAAAACCTCAACCATGATTTCCACCATAACCAAGCAGAAATGAGCTTAGCTCACAGAGAGGCTTAAATAAAAAGGCTTTAAATTAAAGCTCTGAGAACACCTAACCTCTGGCATCAGCAGGTTAAAGCTTTACAAACAACTCTGGATGTATTTAGAAAAGGTTTCTGGATCCGTTTTCCTCACCTGCTCAAAGAAGCCGTGCTGCTCATAGGCGATGGCTGTGGCTGTCTCAGGAAACTTGCATCTCTTCTGCCATAAGCCAGCCCACATGTCCTCTTCCTGGAGCAAAGAGTAGAGCTCTGCTAGAGAGTCCAGAATCTCCTGCAAGCAGAGTAGAGATGAGAACAGAAGAAAAATCTCCAACAGGCGGTCAAAGCAGTGAATGTTACCTGCTGAGGTGGAGTGATGCTCTCCTGCTCGTAAAACTCTGCGCTCTGCTTGGGTTTGCTGTGCAAACTCAGGCCCTTTTCAAAGGCTTGCTGCTCCAGCATGAGGGTGGAGCGCAGCCACAGGTTGTGGGTTTTGCCCAGGTACTTCAGCACACAGGGCCGGATGGGGATGGGAGGCACACACTGCGACGTAGCTTCAACAAAGCAGTTCAGGGCGCTGGGCTGGCAGTCCCTCTGGGCCTGGTGGCTGCCGCTGCACAGGAAAGGGCTCATTTCACCAGACAAAGCCTGGGAAGGAGAGACAGACCCTCGAATAACACACCTCCTTTTTACTTTAGCAGCAGTATAAGAACGGGGAATATTGATGAAGGCATTTTGTTGCACGTTCAGGATGCAACATGATGCAGTTTTTCCAGTAAGAAAGCAGAAAAGCAAGCAAAAAAAACACACGAAAAAGCCCAGAAGGGAGGAAGGATTAAGGGAGTGAAGCTTTTCTTTCCATCTAGACAAACTAACCGTTATTTTGTGGATATGAAATATAATTTATGAAATACTTATGTGATTTTTTGTTGAGATTTATCCCTAAATCAGCATTTATCAAAGTAGAGTAGATTCTGAGCCTGATCCCACAGTCAGCTCTCAGAGAACCATGACTGACACTCACTGATGTATCTTTAATGAATATCATTTACACCGCCTCAGTGGCAGCAGGGAGTAATTCGTGCCTTAATGGCCTTTCTAATCAGACTGATGGTGAACATATCAAAAGTCCTCCTAACAAGCAGAAGCTTTGTGGCGTTCTCCTGCAACGATCGAATCCATGGTTCAACCGTCGCTGCAGCACGCAGAGCTGCAGCCGACATCAGTGCTCATGGGACAAACACGCGACCTGTCACACATGTCAGAGCTGGAGAGCACAGGTATCCTCCTAAAGGATGCACCTGTCAGCTGTTCAAGGGTCTAATCACTTAAAATCAAGGTGTGAACAAGTTCAAAAAGACAGCTCATCACAGCTTCCCTGTATCATGTAGCCTGAATTTAATCAGCTCTGATCAGAACTGCAGTTTTTAGGAGATGTTTGAACAAAAGCTGGCTGCTGATGGCGTACAGGAAACAGGGGAGATGAAATCTCATTGGATGTTAGCTGATGGACCAGAGTGAAACGGAAGGGGGAGCAGCAGGGAATATCTGTTTGAAGGTCTGGACTTCGATTATAGAGAATATGATCTGATCTAACCCCTCCACTGCATCTCTGGCTGGACGATCAGGGTTGTTGGAAGGTGAACCTCCAGCCAAATATCTGCAGGTTTTCTCCTAGATGGATGGAGCGCCTTCCATCTTCTTATTGACTTTGATCAGCAAGATCCTGACCCCACCATGTTTCAAATTTGTATTTCCTACTAACATATGGGAGAAATAATAGACCAGACTCCTTCCTGAAACATCTACAGGTCAGATTTCTGGAGAGAACCACTGATTGTTTTTCTGCCCACCTGAGCTGAACTCCGCAGCTCCTCCAGAGTTACCACATTTTTTAAACCTTCATTATTTTTCTTATATTTAAATTTAGATATTTGTGAATCCGGATACCTTTCCAATACCAGAGCTCTTGTTTTCTTCTCTATTTAGGAGGGTCATTAGCTGTTTCAATTAACTGTCGAATTGTAATTATGAAAATACATTTGCTGAGTGGAAATACTGCAATTTTGAAAAAAAACAAAAGCGGATGGATTTACAATTTGATGGGGTGGTTTTTCACTTGGATCAAATTTCATGTATTTGACATAAATGGGTCTGTCTGCCTTCAAAAAAGACAAAGAAAACTGGAAGTAGTTGGACAATGATGGCGCCAACTAGACATCCTAGATCAGGTCTGTTTTCACCAATACCATTCTAGATTTTTCTTTAATATCAAAAATGATACATATATTAATATCAGATCAATGCATCTCTAGGTGGAGCCTGAACCCACTCTGAACCCCTCCGATATGCAAACCCTCAAGGCTCAGTTTTTGGCCCCATTCTGTTTTCCCGTTGCCTACCAGCAGTTCTAAGGAACTGCTCTTTAGCCTTGCATCTTTAGAAGATAAATCTAAGCGTGTCATTTTTGTTACACTTCAGAATCACTTGGTGCAATATGACAAAGAGTGGAAATGTTTAAGCCTTCTCAATGAACATTGGAATTAAGCTAGATGCCCTTTTTGTTTCAGGATTTAAATGAAATTTTGAGGTGAGACGCTAAACTGGCAGAAAAAAGTAGGAGAGCAGAAACATAACAAGACCAGAATCACAGATTCTACATAAAAGTCACAAGCTCCTATTCCTTTGGTTCAATATTCACAATGTTTCTCTGCTGTAATAAGACATGTAGTCGGAAGTTGGACTCACATGCTGCTGCCGGTCAGAGAGGATCTTCCAGAGGCGAGGGAAAAGCTGCACCCAGCTCCTTTCAGCCAGCGGAGTGGAGATGTGACAGAGCTGCACGAGGGCATTGAGAAGAGCTCCAGTCTGAAACGAACAGAACCAACAGAAATATTAACATCTACACCAAGCAAAGCTGTGAGACTCAGTGAGGTCTAGAAAAGTGAAGAACATTCATGGTGAAGCTGCCTCCAGGAAAAAAGTAGTGAATCACCACATGAATGACAGCCTTACTCTCTGATGCGTTTCCTGAAGTCACATGATTAACCGTTCAGTCTAGCTGAGCTCAATAAACCCAGCCAGCAGAGAAGGATCTAGGCCTACCTTGACCTCCCGTAATGAGTCCAGGAACTTGTCATGTCGGTTGGTCAGCATGTGGAGCTGGTTGCCTGCGTCTCTTTCCGCCTGCTCCTTGGTCTTGGGAATGGCTGTCTGGTCACCGGGGGCCAGCTCAATGTCGATCTCCACCTCCTACGAAGAGATCAGGGGTTGAACAGAAGTGCTGATGTTCACAGACACCATGGCTCACCGGCTTGAACGTCTCTTAATATTGAGACAACAGTCAATAAGAGTCACCTCCTCTTTAGTCTCGCTGTTCTCCCGTTCACGAGGCTCCTGCTTGACATGCGTTGCCATGGCAAAGGCTGCGCGGTCGTGGCTGTCGGCCAAGTTGATGACGTTGGTGATGGACGGCAGCATGGACCCCTGGCAGCTGGTTCCGATGATGGTGTTTCGTTCACAAACAGCCAGCAGCAGCTATCAAACACATGACGGAGATGATTGACTCCAACTAGAACGTTAGATTGTTCAAACAACCACTCAGGCGAGGTGAAAGTCGTCTGCAGCCGCGCCACCTACCTCTATGCACTGTTTGATCCAGAAGTGGCTGCCCATGGCCTCCCAGTTCTGAGAACAGCAGATATAGAGCAGCCTCTCATAGACACGGCGCTTCATGGACGCATCGAACACCTCAAAGAACTTGGCCCTGATCACCGGCTGGGGGCAGCGAAGCCCTGATAGGAAGGCTGGCTCCAGCTTGGACGTGATGTCACTTCCTGAAAGGCTCTCATCTCTGAATGGAGATTACAAACAATCATTTCAGTGAGGCTAATTGTAAGCTAAAATCAAAGGTAGAAATTATAAAAAAGGCAGCCGAGCAGCATCCTTCTGGTCTTAAACCAATACTGTCCTCTTATAAAGGGTTAGCCTGACCTAAAGCACAGCCTTGTTTTTCTGTATGAATAATTGTTTCATAAAAACATTTCTTTTTTTAAATGAATAACCTTGGAGAAAAACAAAAAATGTCCCTTTTGATTAGTTCAAGTGAACATGGATGGTAGAGCTGGAGCGCAAATAGAGATCTTACCCAACCTTAAAAACTCAATCTTTTCAAGATGGTTAAAAAAAAAAAAGAATGCTCTTCGCAACATCATCCGCCATGGTTGTTGTTTTTCTTCCCGCTTCTGCGTAGCAAGACGCAGAATATTGACCTGAGTATTAATGGGAATCAGGTGGGATCAATGCGACCTGGCCTTTCAGACACAAGTCGCATTTGAAAGGATCCGATTTGTAACGGATTCAGGACCACAAAGCCAAGTGACCTGGGTCACATAAAAAAAAAAAAAAAGGATCTGTGTTGTTCAGACATCCATGAAAAGATCAGATACGGGTCACATATGGGGAAAAAAACGGATTTGGGTCACTTTAGATTCAATCCGTGGTAGGGCCAACGTGATTAAACGCCACTGGATTCTGAATAAATGCGCCTCATTTGTCACCAGTGTGGTGCTAAGTTAGGTTCCCAGAGGGAATCTATTCCCCATGCGTTCAGACATAACCAGTGTCATCCCTTTTTCTTTTAGGTTACATTTGAACAGATACCTGCCTTGTTTTCCATTGATGTTCTAAAATGTTTTCCATTGATTAACAGAGTTTGAGCTGTTATACAAAGAAGAATGGGCCCAAAATTAATCTCTGTAGATGTTGAAAGCTGGTGGAGACAAAAAGAGCTGCAGCTGGACATGCAGGTCAGGTTTGTTTTATAATTTGCCTTTAATGTGAGAAAATCAAAGTATTATATGTTCTTTGTCGTTTATACTCAGAGATAAAAACTCTTTAATCTACAGAATACTTCTTAACAAGTTAACGGTTTCCTGACCGTCCTGCTGATGGAAAGAAAACTCTCCAACCTCTTGACCTTCAGCAGTCGTGTCAAAAGCGAAGCAAAGGCAGCCTGCCGTGGGCGCCTCGGCCATTTGGCTCCGTGATAAATGGCGGTAATTACCTGTAGACATAATTAACGAGGTCCAGGAACTGAGCATTTAACTCAAGTTCATCGGGGAAACGTTTCTCTATGTAGGTCATCATCTTCACCAGCAGGATGGACTTCTCACGCAGGTTCGGCATCTGAGAGGAAACGGATTAATAATCCCAATGGAAGATTAACAGAACAAGGCAGGAAAATAATCAAAGAAGAAGACGACAGGGAGCCACCAAAGAAAAATCTGAAAAGTCTTCTGATTTATTTATTTTAGCTTACATCCTAACTTCTGGTTCCTTTCAGAGGTTTTAAGGAAACCTGCATGTCTAATGGTCTAAAAAAAAAAAAACTATTAAAGATTCTGACCTGGTTGGCGGCCATAGGAGAGTTGTTCTTCACCCACTCCTCAACGATCTTGACCACGGCACGAAGGATTTTGGGGTCAGGGGATTTCTCGATCAGAGACGCCAGGATGACCTGAATGAAGTTCTTCCTCATCTCCATGCTCATGACAGACAATCGGGTTTTCACCAGGTCAAGACTCAGCATTACCAACTCGCTCGTCACTGTTAGGACAGAAACAACTTTGGTGACTGAAATATCGTCTGGATGCAGCAGGATTCATACTCAGACGTAGCAGGATGGTGAGGTTATTGCTATTCCCTACAGATTTCCTTTCCTGGGCTTCTGGATCTGGGACGTCTGCAGCAGGAAATCATTTAATGCATTGAACCAACAGCTGCAGCAGTAACTGAAGAAGGTGATTTATAAAAATTTTTTTAAGGTTAATATCTAACAAAAAGTACTTTTATTATGATCTTAAAGGAGTCATAACTCAAAAAGCAAACTTTAATTTTAAAACTGGTGTTGGTTCTGGGATTCAGTAAAAAATTTTGTTTTTTCTCATGTTGGCTCTTTAGAGAGATGTTTTTGTGATCAATACTGTTAGTGGAAGGGTGCCAACATTAGCCTGACTTGCTTTCATCATGCGTGACAATCCCAACATCCAGGGACTCACCTGCAGTAAGTTTTGCAACATGTGGAACTCCTACCTATTGTGTAAGCAAGCTGGAAACGATGGTAAAATGCTGATGTTGCCAATGCTACATCCATGAATGCGCCAACACACAATAAAATTATCTGGTGTAACCTCAAAAGAAAAAGGGGGGGGGATCCAAATAAATTTTTTCTTATTTTAAAGATGATTAAATATGACTTTAAGGACAGTTTCAGAAGGAGTTAGCTCCTTAAGACTTGATCTCTTCACCAACAACGAGCCTCATGATGATGTGTTGCCATAGTTTCTCTTTACATTATTGATTTATTTTATCCATTTCCAAGAAAAGCAGTGTGTTGAATATTCATGCAGCTTAGCAGAGGTTCTGCTCCTAAAACAAAGATGAGCTTATGAGTCGTTAAGTTTAATAGCGCCACATACTGGACTGAAGGTGCAGTGCAGCTCCTCTCTATGTCGTTAGGCTGATTTACATACATATCCCGCTGCCTTTTCAGAGCAACAGAATCAGGAGGACCAAATGCTAAGAGTGAATAAGATCCTGTGGTGCTCAGAGGGGCTTTTTTCTTAGACCAGATATCTGCAGCATCCTCCATGGAAAACACATGCTGAGCTTTAACATGCAACAGCAGCAGCCCAGAGGCTTTGAAAGCAGCGGAATGGATCTACTGGAGTTCTGCTTATTGAATTACTGAAACCCGAAGACCGTCGAGAGGAGATGGCCTCGCTGCTCTGATAGCCTTTGGTCTCAGCCACTGTAACTCCTGATGGTGGAGGGTTAATGTCTGTGTTTCCCGATATAGTCATTAGGGAACCATTTAAAGCCCTGATCGTATCTAACAGCCATTACCTCCCATGTGAGGAACACCAGGAATTATGTGCTGCAGTTCGGCTCACAGACAAACCGAGCAGGAAATGGCTACCAGTTACAATCTGGTAAATCTAAAGAGTCTGTTTTTACCTTGAACGTCAATGATGCTCAAATGAGGCTGAAACTAAAGTGATGGCAGTGAAAGATATAAAGAACCCCCTGAGAAAACCAATTTCTTCATAAGTTTCATATAAAAGATGGAGCACAAGTTAAAAGACCTCATTATTAATCAAGCTGTTCTTTGATTTTCACTAAATGGTTTAAAACCTCCTAGAACTGGAGACCCCACCTGCTTATGATGCAGTCAGTTAAAATCTAAGCACAAGAATATTTCCAGAGTCTTAGTCATAAATGTAAAGGTCGTACCAGTGCTGGTTTCAGTGACTGCTGGGTTAGCCTGCTGGGGGCTCAGGTGCTCCCGAACCATCTTCTGGAGCGAGCGCATGAAGACCGAGATGAGGCGGTCAATATAGCTGGCGTTGTAGCTGCAGGCCGACTTCAGGATCATCAGAGTTCCTGTAAGACCGAGACGGATGAAGGAGGCAGCAGGATGGCTTTTCTGTTCTATTCTTAGCAGTTTCACCCAGATGCGTAGAACACCGTTCCTCTCTGCTTCTTACCTAACCCCCCCAACAACTGAATATTTTTAAAGCAAACAAATCAAACCCTTTTCTCAAACATCTTTCATTTAACGGTAACCATGACATGTTGGATTCCTGCTATGAACCCCAACCTCTGCCCAGCAGACCATAGCCATGTCACATTCTGCCTATTCTCTCTATTTTATTACATCAGTTTTATTTTTTAAAGGACAGTTTTATGTCCAGTACTGATGTTGGCCTGAATCAACAGGAGAAACCGGAGAGCGACTCTTACCGAACAGATGTGTAGGGTTAGTGTTGCTGGTGGCCTTCTCATAGTTGGTCAGTCCTTCGTAGATGACTTTGCCAACAGCGGCGTAGAGCGCATCCAGCTCCTCGTATTTGGAAGCCACATTAGATGTGCCTGAGGGGAAAAATACAGAAATTAAAATCAGAACAGAATTTAAAACATTAGTGCAAGAAAAACCAGAAACAAAGTTCTGTGAGCAGAGGAGGTGGGGCCGTTTCTCAGACTTTATATCTTGTTTTAGCCAGATTACATCATCATCAAGCAGCTACCTGGACAGGACTACAGAGGAGTTGATGGATTTGGAGGACTAGAATTTACTTTGAACAGAAGATCAACTCATGCTGCAAAGACTTCAGTAATACTATAACTCTATCCGGCCAATCAGAGCGCACCGTCACCACATCTGCACTAAGGATCCACACAGATCTGTGTGGACAAAGTACTCAGAACTCACTTGGTTCTGTAGGAAAGATGCTCATGAGGCGAGAAAGCAGCGAGTGGACGGCCCGCAGGATTTTGGTGTTTCCACAGGACATGCAGGCAGCGATGCCCTTCTGAAGGGGCTTGAAGTGGGCCAGGATGGCCGAGGACTGCAGGACAGTCAACAGGAAGCAGAGAATCTCCAGCCCGGTGCAGATGTTGGAGATGTTAGCCTGGGCTGGCTGCTCCTGAGGAACAGGAGAGAAACACAGAACCAATGAGCTCAAAGGACACAAGCTCAATTAAAGACAATTCAAATCCAGCAATTAAACAAGAAATCAAATACATCGAGGTTGACGAGCTTTGACAGCGTTTTGAAAATTGTTGTTTTTTTTTTACATTTTGTTAAGAGCTAAATTACATGTTAATCAAATTCTATCTAATAAACCAACACAAAGTGAAACATAATCACTTCCTGCAGCATGATGCCGCCACTACCATGATTCCTTATGGCCATGCTGGCTTTATGGTGGGGTTAACTGACAATTAAGGAAATCTGAGCAGAGGTGAAGAGTAACTGAGCTTTATGGCCCCTATTTTGCACCATCATTTTCTGCACCACTAACGTTAATTGTTGTGCACACTTTGTTTTTTTTCTTACACTGAAACATCTTAACACTACTGCACTTAATATTGAGATGTTATTTATTTCAGTTTCTAAATCTAAGTCTTACTAGTCCATTTACTTGTATACATTTTTGAAAAAAAAAGTACTTTTAGGAGTAGTTTTATGACTGTGTACTTGAATAAAATTCTGATAAATTATCACTGCTCTTACGTGGGTTACATTCCTGGCTACTCCACCCATTGTCAGTAGCTTCACAAAATTAAAACAACAAACGAAGCTTGTTTTAAACAAAAATGCATCATTGAGACACAGACTTATTTTCTTTTTGTAGTGTTTGGATAAATTATATTTTCTATTTTCTGAGTCTGCTGTAAAATTCAGAGGTTGAGTGAAAATACAGTAAACAGTATTCTGTAATTTAACCTTTTCTACATACTGCAACTACTGATTGTTTCAAGTTTTATAACTCAAAAATGCATTTTGAAGATAATTCATTCCATCTTATTTTTTTTGTGTTATTACTGTATTTTATAGGCTTATTTATTATATTATTATTTGAATCATTATAATTTACAAATCACCTAATATTTTGTTCAATTTTGCATCACCTTGTTAAATATTAAATCAGTTGTTATGATCATGTCTTTTTGCCTCTTTTTTCTTTTTAATTTCTTTAAAGGCATTCTTTTTATTTCTACTTGAGTAAAAATACAATGTAGTGCTTCAGAAAAAATTTTGCAACTTCTATTATAAATCTGAAGGATTTAATTTTAATAAACTGGCTCCACTTTGCTTTATTTTGGGGAATTAGAGTAATGGGGGATGAATATAAATGAGCAAAAACGAACAAACCTTATAATCATGAAACAAACTGTTGTTGAAATTAGGGCTGCAACTAACGATTATTTTAAAAATCGATGAATCGGACGATTATTTTTTCGATTAATC